ACTGAATACATCTGTATGAACCAAAGCAATCTTTCTTGCTCCCCTGTTTTTGTGCCCAACAAACCACACCCCCTACAATCCCTCACTTTACAATATGTACCCCAATTCTAGGTAACCAATACTCAAAAGTGAATGTAAGACACAAAGAAACTCATCAGCCCTGTAATTCACAATTATATATCCATTACTAAACTTATTAAATTGAATGTACTTATACAACCTTTACCTCCTGCTGCTACACAGGTACAGCAGGCTGCATCGTTACAGATTCCTTATACGCAGGCCTTCTAATTTAAATATTAATTTGATCTCCATATGGTACTTTCTTCCTGCCTAGCCTACCACTGTATTTTGTCCCAAAGAAAGAAGACGCAGTTCGCCTATTTCTTCCCTATCGTTTATCAATTCATTATCTTCCTTCCTATAGCAGGTGACGATAGCCAACAAGATGCCTGCTCCAGCGTTTTCGACATGCATGGTCACATTTTCTACGTTAAAGGGACACGTCGTTTCCTTACCAGGCTAAAAAAATTGGCAGCCTGTTAAAAATATATTGTAATCACTGCTCCCTCTGTCCCCATTTTTCCGTCGTTTTAGCCTTCACCCAGCACATGCAAGATTCTTTGAACTTGGACGGAAGCTCACCCAGATGCATGCAAGATGCTTTGAATGGGGACAGCTGGAAGCGCAACTAAAACGACGATCAAATAGGGACGGAGGGAGTATGCATGTGTAATATCACTATGTATTTGTTTATTTAACTGTCACTCCGAACTGCATACGTATCTTCGGATCTGAACTATGTACTAGGATCAATCTGGTATGCTTGTGTTTTTTTAATATATACCCAGGACACCCTGGCCCCGTTCGTTTTGCTGAAAAAACAAGCCGAAACACTGTTCCGGCTGATTTGTTGTGAGAGAAAACACTGTTCTGGCTGAAAAAACAAGTTGAAAAGTACGAATTATAAGACAAGCGAACAGGACACTTGCGTTCAAAATCATTCATGTGCCCGTGTATGCGCGCAATGGCGCGCGCCTGCTCTCGTATATATTAAATCCAAACTCTTAACTACTACGACTAAGGCCCCCTTTGGCTAACAGGAGAGGCATAGGAAAAACGTAGAAACGAAATCATCGTGGTCATTTGGAATAGAGGAAACTTTCATTTAGAATACTATAGTGAGATGCCGATTTGACAGGAGGAAACATCACTTTGCAGTACGCAGTGTAGTGATTTGCGTAAATCATTGGCCAACTTTTGCGCAGTGCAGTGTAGTTCAACTTGTTAGGTTGGTCATTTGCCTCGGACTTCCCCAAAACATGAGCTCGAACAGGATATTTTATTTCCTGTGTTTTTGCGGGTGAACGAATCATTTCCTCTGGAATTGGCACTGTACTTTCCTCCGTTCCTACCACCATGTGACGTCAGCAAATCCATAGGAAGTGATTCCTCCATTTTTCCTAGGCTTCTTCCGTGAACCAAAGGGGCCTAAATTGGAAAGGAGAGTTCCCGCTCCTCATTATTACTGGCTATGCTACCGCACGGGGGAGGAGGTGACCTGTGGTGGTAGCGCAGAGGATCCTAGGGCTTCGGTAACAGGAGACAGCGACAACGACCTAATCTCCTCTCACACTGCTGTAGTCTACGAGTACGTATCTATAGTGCAATGGATTTTCACCGTGAGGGATAAACGCCACCTCAAACGAAATTACCTGACCACTTTCTAACACGATATTCTATATCTTACGTTGCCTCTAAAACATCAGAGGTGATAAAGTCCATTGGAAGGACTGTATCAGTCTCAATTTATATTCTCCCTTTTACACATGGTGTGCTCCTAAAATAAAAGAACATCAAGTCTTTTTGAGAGTGGCCTTATCATCGTCACTGCAGAATGTTTTCAAGTAATATTACTTCAATGAAAAAAAAATGTAAAAGTAGTGGCAAATTTAGGACAGTGTGATTCTTAGAAGCGTGCTGACTTCTTAATACTTCTTTAGTTTCAAATTATAAATTATTTTCAGTTCTATTCTAAGTCAAACTTCTAACTTTAATTAAATATATAAGAACACACAAATATCAAACTAAATTCATTATACATCACAAAATAATTATTTGTTTGAAGTAGATAGTCATCAGTTGGTGCTACATATAATTAATATTTTCTATAGTACATAACATTAATATTTTCTCTAATAATAATATTATAGAGCAAAAGATATTTTTATCCTATTTTTTACTTCCCACAAAGCCATTATGTTTCGCTTTGTCTCCTGCAAGACTTTAGACTTATGACACATGCTCAGACAAGTTAAAACCGCGCACGTTAGTGTGTCCAATGACGGTACGGAGTCCAATTCCCATGTATATTGGAAAAGATAACATGAACATTATATAAATCTCAGAGCTACCAGTTGTTTAGTCGTTTAGATGAGCATGCAACAAGGTCTATTTTTTTTAACGTATGAACAATTTGCCTATTCCAAACAACGACGCTGAGATCTAGGAAAGAGTACCAAGATACTCAGCCTCCAATCGACTCACCAGTCGGACGCAGGCTCGGGGGCTACATCCACCAGGTGCGCTCGCGCGCACCCGCTGGCAAGTAAAAAAAATCTCCCAGGTGATGCTACCCAAATCGCTCGGGGGCTACACCCACCGAGTGCGCTCGCGCGTACCTGCTGGCAAAACAAAAAATTTCCTAGACGATTCTACCCGAATCGCCCGGGGGTTCGAGGGCTCCTGTCGGGTTCATAAACCGGGGTCCCTAATGGGCCCGCTTTCCAGCAAAAGCTCGGCCCAGCAGGCGACGTTGTGAACGACACGCAACTTCTGGGCCGGCCCAGATACCTAAACAACAGGTCGGAAGAGCGATCCAGTCTCCGACCGAAATGCCTAGCCAAAGAGGGGCGACGCTCGCTTCCGACTCGACCCGCTTCTAGGGATGACAACGGGGCGGATTCGGATCGGGTGGAGTCTCTGTGCACCCGAACCCGAAACCCAAAATCGAAACCCAAAACCGCACCGAACACCGATTCGGGTGATAATCCGTCCCCAAAACCGAACCCACGGATACCCGAAACCCGAATGGATAACCGAAACCCGCTTTGTATGGCAACATAGTAAGAGAAATAACAACTTTTGATAAACATATGCATGATATATATACACATATTCACATGTATAAACAAGAGGCAACAAATAATAAATATTTTCATGAGTCAACTTAGAATAAATTTAATAATATAAGTAAACAAGTTATTATTAGCATATTATAAAACATGAGTTTTAATTCCAAATGATTTATTTCGGATATCCATTGGATATCCACGGGTGAAAAACCAAACCTGATTGGTTTTGGAGCCCCGAACTCGAAAATCGTGGGTGAGAAATCATCCTCGAACCCGAACCCGCAAATATCGACCCGAAATCATGGGTGAGAAATCATCCCCGAACCCGAAACCCGTGGATATCCGACCCAAAACCGCCCCGTTGCCATCCTTGCCCGCTTCTTCGATCGGAAGGCCTGACCAAGGAGGGGCGACGCTCGCTTCCGACTCCGACCCGCTTCTCCGACCGGAAGGCCTGGCTAAAGAGGGGTGACGCTCGCTTCGACTCGACCCGCTTCTCCGACCGAGAATACACCAAACCTCTGCTTACGGCTCTTCTCCAACTAGCGTGGTCGGAGCCAACTGGGAACGACCGGCCGGGGGCGCCCGCTTGATGAGGACCCAAGAAATCAGGCGGAGCAGATAAGGTAAGACGCTCAAGTCAACCGCAATACCGAGAACCGTACCCTGCACACCTGCGGGACAATACTATCAGGCCATGCCAGAAGGGAGCTTTGCGACCTTTTAGACATGTCAGAACACGAACAATGTTGTGGGCGTCGATATTTGTCATACAGAATGGTAGGCGTCGACATTTGTCGTACTAGAAGAACACGATAGAGTCTACCATATACATCTGGGCGTCAACAGTATTGTGGGCGCCGACAAACTATCTTGTACCCAACGACGTGGGCAACAAGACTCTCTCCTAACCTGTAAGGCCGTCCCCTTCATATATAAAAGAGGATGCGCTCCCTCCTAAAAGGAGAACGGAAAAAACGGATCATTCTGACTCTCCATCTGCTAGCTTTATACATTCTGAGCACTCGAACAGCTTCAAGGCTCTAGAACTCTAAAGCTACACAGGGCATACGTTTCAATACTTAGCGCACGTAGGAGCTCCCGCCACTCTCGGCCCTTCGGTTCAGAGTCCGACCGGACCTCTAACACCCCCATCTTATTCCCACTCGTTTGTAACCCCACAACAAACTTCGAGCACCTAGGCTCAGGAATAAAGTCACCGACCGACTCAAACTGGACGTAGGGCACGTTGCCTGAACCAGTATAAACCCTGTGTCATTGAGTGCTAAGCCACATCCGATCACAACGTACGACAAATCTACAAATCTTCACTTGTTGGTCACTTTTCGCACCGACACCGTCAGTACTCCATGAGACGAATTCATTAAGCCTAATTAATCCATCATTAGTAAATGTTTACTGTAGCATTACATTGTCAAATTATGGACTAATTAGGCTTAAAAAATTCGTCTCACAAATTAGTCGCAAAGCTGCGCAATTAGTTTCATAATTAGTCTATATTTAATACTCCATATATATCTCAAACATCCGATGGGACAGCGACTAAAACACTCCCTTAGTTAGGCGCAACAGTAGTCAATGGCTCCTGCCCTGGGCCTCTGGGGGCCGTAGCCTGGTCACATCCACGAGCAACGGCAGCATGAGTTGCACGCAACCGGCTTTAGCGAATCACTTGTAGCGTGTTTGGTTTCTGATTTTCTGCATCGATGTATCATTCATAGCGAGCCGTTCAGAATTCATCAGAACTTTAGACGGCGAGGAAGAATGCACGCACTGGCCGCCGAGCACGTGCAGGGTGCACGCACGCATGATATTGCTCGCTGCGCTGCGGCTGCAGGCAGCACGATGCATGCAGTCGCCGCCCCTGACGCCCGGGGCTGGCGGGCGGCGGCGAATGAGCTGAGCTGTGCGATGCCCACGTCCCCCAAGGCACGCATCGAAGCGATATCCTTTGGGTTTTGCCCCAATGCCCCGAGATATCTGTGCACCGTCCCGGCTCCAGAGTCCAGACCGGGCGGGTTCCTCAACCAGTCGACCTCCGCGCGGCGGCGCTGGTGCACTGTCCCCCGCGCATGTTTTTGTTGCTTCTCCCTGTCCGTCCCAGCTCCCACGATTGCTTCCCCGCCTCTGCTTCCGCGACTCCCGGCTCTCGCAGTCCCGCTCCACCCTGCCTGAAGTCCACGCGACGTACGTCCCTCGCCCCCCGTCGCCCTCGGCCACGTCCTCAGACTCTCCCGGCCGGCTCTAGGAGTCAGGATAGGACAGGTGAGCTTGTCTTTGCTCGGTTCCTTCCGAAGTCCTTGGGTGGTGGGTGTATGGGAACGGGATCTGCATTGGGTGGCTGCAGAATGATGTGCCATAACCGATGCGTGGGCCATCTCCTGCGCGCTTGCCATTCCTCTGCAGCCAATCGGTTCCAGCGATTTTATTTTATCCTCAAATCACTGAATCACAATATATAGTGTTCCAGGGGAAAAAACGAGAGAGAATCCGGTAGCTAGCGTTATCTTCTCAGCAACAGGTCCATGTGGCCTCCCATACGTTACGTCTCCAACTGTGTCCTTTGTTGACCGACGTCCGCCGCGCGGCTGCAGAGGAGATGTGCAGCGGGAGCCGTCTTTGAGGACTACAGCAACCGGATACGTACACGCTACAGCGGCATACACGTAACGTACGTGGTACTAGCGTTCCGTTTTTACCACTTCTTACAGGGAAGACCGGCAGGCAAGCACTCGCAGGCCTCTGTGCCGCCCGAGAACGCGCCTGCTCGTTTCGGGCAACCATTCGTCCGCCGGTCGCCGCCCAATCGCCCACACCCGGTATACGGGTAGAATAGAAAGGTGCCCAACCGCTGCTAGCATGTTCATTTGGCTGTGGCTTATCGTAAACGATCGTAAATTTTTCAGCCGAAACATTATTTTTCTCACACAAATCAGCCAGCAGTACTTCTTCACGAACCAGCAACGATATGAACCAGCCAACCGAACAGGCTGCTCCGGTCAGGCGTCCCCTTTTCGGTGTCCGATGCCCGCCACTGACCACTCCACCCGTGCCGGGAGCCGCTCGGTGGGTACTGGGTAGGCGGTCCAGGGGATGGGGGTGACGGCCGTGATGTGACGCGACGCGCGCCGCCCCCGCCACGATTATAAAATCCCAAAAAATCTTTCCGCGTCTCGTCTCCAACCGGCGACCCCACCACCCGAGCGGGATCCGCTACCTCGGCGCTCGGCGCTCGGTGCTCGGCGCGCCCCCAAGTCCCTACGAAAGTTATAGTTCTCAGTAGGATCGTAACCTTGTAGTTAATTTTTTTTCGTTTAAAGTTATTTAGTGTCCTAAAATTTAATTTTAAAAATTTAATTTTCCTAAAATTTTTCACATCAAATGATTAAATCTAATAAGGGCATTAAATATAAATTAATACAAAACTAATTTAGATGGAGGACCAATTTTTAAACAATTAATCTAATTAGCAAAAACGTTGTCAAATTGGACAAATTAGGCTTAAAAATTCGTCTCGCAAATTAGTCGCAAGTTAGGGCTTCAATTTGATATATATTTATCTTCATTTATGTGTCCAAACATTTGATGTGACAGGAATTTTAGGAGGAGGGGAAGGAACCAAACAAGCCCTTAAAATCTATAAACATACAATAATATTTTAGAATCCTAAACAGTTTTAATTCAAAAACTTTTCAACTACAAAGTCGTAGATCGCGTCGAGGGCTTCAATTTTATATAAAGTTTATGTTCATTTCATATGAAAAAGTTATGAATTATTTTTTTATATAAAATTATTAGATCACCTTGTTTTGATCTAGATGAGACTCTAAACCAAATTTAGGGATCGGGATGACACAACTAAATAAGTTTGAGGAAACGATTAATTTGTAAGTTTAGGGACTGAAATGACATAACCAAATAAGTTTAAGGACCAAAATAACACATATGAACAAATTTGAGGACTATAACCGATCAATTTATAAATTTAAGGACCGGAACGACACAGCCGACTAAGTTGCACTTTACTCTTATATATTTCTCCTCCGGAATTGCGTTGCGTCTCCGCTTCCGTTGCTCCCTCCGCGGTCCGCGCCCCGCTCCTCCTCAATTCCACCCCTGCGGCTGCGGCCCTGCCTGCCTGCCGTCCACGCGACGTTCCTCGTGTCCCCGTCGCCTTCCTTGGGGCTGGGTCCCGACTCCCGAGATATAGTTGCGGCGGGGTTTCCTTCTTTAAGAAAGTTCTGAACCAGAGGAGCAGCGCGGCGCGGGCGGCGGAGAGCCGGAGGCCCTCGCTGCTGCAGGTGAGCTCCTCTCTGCCTCCGCTTCGTTGGTTCCCAGGTTCTTGGGGACGGAACTCACAAGGCTTGCGCCTTTGTCCGTGCTTGATCGCCATGGAATTTCGAGGCTGGGGGATGCTTCTTACCGCGTGACTTAGGACGGATGTGTGCAGTTCTCTTTTACAGCCTGCGGGCAGTTCGTGTGGACCAGGGATGCTAAAAAACCGATCCTTTTCGCAAGTTTTTAATGCGTACTCCGTACTCCTTACTGTTTGACTCAATTTGGTTTTCACTTGAGCCGTTGTTTGGATGCATATATATTAATCTTAATCTACATGTGTTGAATGTATTGGAGTGAAATTGAACTAAGTTATATTTTATTTCACTCCACGTGGAATAAAGTGGATACACGTGCATCCAAACGAGACCTTCAGTCCTAAACCTAGGATTGCCAAAAAAAAATCGATCTTGTGGTGAAACTTTTTTTTAGTGCATCTCGATTCCTATTGAAAATGTTTGGGCAGGCTGGATGTGTGGGCGTGAATACGTGGGAATACTTCATCGGAATGGGAAAAGGTAACCCCAGAGGAGGCTAAAGTTCTGGAATGAGTGGGAGGGCGGCGGGGTTAGTGCCTTGGTGGAAATGGGAATATATCTTTCCGCCTGTCAATTTCGTTCGAGTCTTTCTTCCTAAAACTATGGCGCACTGAAGTAGTTGCTGTTGCCTGTATAGACCGTAGGGGCTGGGTAAATGAGGCTACCCCAAACTATCACATCGAATCTTGCGACACGTGCATGGAGTATTAAATATAAACGAAAAAAAAACTAATTGCACAGTTTGATTGGAAATCTCCAGATAAATGATTTAAGACTAATTAGTCATGATTAGACATAAGTGCTACCGTAACTAACATGCGCTAATGATGGATTAATTATGCTTAATAAATTCATCTCGTAGTTTCCAGACGAGCTATGTAATTAGTTTTTTTATTAGTATCCGAAAACCCCTTCCGACATCCCCGAAACATCCGACGGGACATCCAAATTTTTTTATTTCGCGAACTAAACACAGCTCACAGCTGAACATGTGTTCGAGTTGGGTGATCGACTTAAAGCCTGGTTGACCTTCCGCAGTGGTCTTGTACTTTCCCAATCGCCATCAGTAAGATGGTCCATGCCTCGTATTTATTGCAGAACAATGTAAGTACATGTCAGGATCAGTCATGCAAGTGAAATTTGAATCCTGTTCTGTTACTGTAGGAATCGTGTATAAATTCACAAATTATGCTCATTTATCAGCTTGTTGCCAGTTGATCAATCCAAATATATTTCAGATGAACTGAAATTTGGTTTTTGAGCTGCAATTTTACATTGTTTCCCAAAACTCATGAGTAACATGCAAACATTTTCAGTTTTAGTGGATCTTCTGCACAGCAGCTTTGCAGTATTATTCTGTTTTCGGAAGTTGGGAGTGATATACTATTTACATATTAATAACTGAATGTAACATGAGTGCCATTTGGTGCAGGTGGACAATTTTGTAGTCTTGCTAACTTCAGTTGATGGTTAATATGAGGGACAATGAGTCATCAGATGATGCACAATTGGATGAGCCCTTAGGGCGAGTGTCGATACTCTCTTACGGTTCTGGGCATATGCTCAATGACATCACATCATCTTGTTGGTTTACCTATTTGCTGGTGTTCTTGACGGATTTGGGACTTAGTCCAGGGTATGTGCTCTCTGGGTTACATCTCCTTTTTCTCCGATTGTAATGCATATGGTTATATTCTGTTCTCTAGCATGTTGCTAAATCATGTGAAATTGGAGGTGTTTATGCACTCACTTTAGCTTTACTCTAACTCTGTTTACTCTACTGCAAGAGGAATTTTACCTCTGCTGCTATGCATTAGGAAGTAAGTTCATGTTTAATTCCAAGTTACTATATAAAACATTTTACTGCAATATACTCTAAAACGTCCTTGATAAAAAAAAACTTTAAAACTTTCAAATGTTTGCACAACTGATCATCAAAATTCTGCTGTCCCTTTTTACTACTAGTGCTAGTAATGTTCAGAAAGAAAAATAATGATTTACAATGCTAAAAAACTGGTAAGACAATGCCAACATGTTAGTTACTAAGAAAGTGCTTACTAATTTTCTGATCCATGACATGTCGTAGAGTCTGCCGAAAATCTTGAGTTGTCAGATTCGATCATGTTTGTTTATCCAGGTTTTGAGAAATATTGAGATGCTGACAGCTTGGAAGTAAAAGCTTCAGGATTATTTCAGACACTTTACTTTATAATTCACTTTTGCAGCGATGCTGCTACTGTCATGCTTTCTGGACAATTGGCGGATGGCTTCACAACAATCTTTGTTGGGGAATTGGTATGAGCCAAGAAATAACATGATTCATTTATTAGAAGCTGCAATAAAACAACATTTAATTGATTCTCCTCCTTTTAGTCACAACAAGCTAGATTCATTTTAGCATTTACTGTGTATGATTCTGGGGGTAGATATATAAAGTTGTGAACATACCATTTCTGTTCCAGATGGATCGCTTTGGGCATTTCAAACTGTGGCATGCAGGAGGATCTATTTTAGTGGCAATTTCCTTCTCGTCTGTTTTTGGTAGCTGTGTTCCTTGCAAACTTATGGGAACTGATTCATCTACTTTGGAGACTGTTGGATACAGCACATTTGCCGCTATTTTTAATGTTGGTTGGGCAGTTACTCAAGTCGCTCACATGTATTGGCTTTTCTTTCCCTATTTCTCTCCATGCTTTTCTATGGTTTCAGCATTACATTTATAGATATCTTTCATATGCTCCTAAGGTCTATGGTAAACTGCATGTCATCAAATCCAACTAGCCGGGTTTCACTTGTAAGCTGTCGTAATGCCTTCACGATGGTTAGAACACTCTACTCGATCATTCATTCTACCATGTCCAAATAATAACAAAGTAATTGCATCTGATGTTCTTAATTTTCATGCTTTTGCTAGGTTGCAAATCTTAGCCTGTATGGCATTGCTTTGTTGATATTTACTCTATTGCAGTCAGTGAACGTACTAGTTCAGGTACTCTCTTGTATATTTACTAATCTGTATTGCTATGTTTCTGATATTCTTCGTTTTCATTATATTTTTTAATACTTTGGCCAGTATCGTTGGATTGCTTATGTGTCCATTTCCCTCGGATGTTGCTTTGTTGTCATCTTCTTGGTTGGAACCAAAGAGCCTGGGTAAGATGGAAACCTTCATAGTTAACATTCTTTTGGAAAAATTATCGACTTCCCCTAGGTTTTTCATCTCCTTTTTTTTTCTTTTGCTATTTTTAAACAAAATCCTTATCTTTAGATCAATCCGGCACTGCATGGATAAGAGTCTTTCCAGAATTTCATGGGCCTACTGGTTCAAGAAAGTATTGTACTACCAAGTTGCTCTAGTCTACACTCTGACTAGATTGGTGACCAATGTTTCACAGGTACCTTGTAATCTTTTACTCTGTGATATAGGGATGAAATTATCTCTTCTTTTGGGAGCTTCTAAACGCATTTATACTTTGCATTCTGTTTACTCTTGTTGATTTATGTTATGTGCTCCTTTTCGGCCCTAACATTATTCTACCAGCTGTGGCAGAGGGTATCTCACTATCTACAGTAGATTAATATACTGTACTCAAGAGTAGACTTTCCCTTTTTACCATAAAGTTACCAGCATAAGGCATGCCAGTACGTACCACAATATATTATTTTGTGGCTCTGAGAGTGTTTTTCAGATACATAGCAAGCTTTAGAATATTTCTGGGCATAGTGCCTTTTTCTTTATGCTGGTAGATGTCTCATGTTAGGAGCATATCCCTATCTAAGTTTTTCCTTACCTTTTTCTTTGCTTTTACGTTGAGCATGTATTCTATAGTTGGTTGTGGTTTCTCTTAAGGGCACATGCTACACAAGGTGGTTAGGCATGAGTGCTTAAAGAGAGAGAATGCTGTCACATCATTAAGCACATGCATAAAAGTTAATCCCTCAAATGCAAACTAGTTCTTAAATGGGCTTAACTACATTATTAGCACACCTTAAGCACCCGAGCGAGCTTAAGCATTGTATCCAGTTTATAAGAACCTAGCGTGTATGATTTATGATATGGTCAAAAGGCGGAAAAGGCTGCCGGTGACCTCCACTAGTCCACTGTACATGCCCTTATAGAACCTCGACTTGCTCAAAATAGCATAAATTGTTGTATCCGTCTTCAGTTTCACATGCTAATGAGAAAGTGTACATATAGGTTCATTTTTTCCTGGTGTTAAATGTTACATATCTCAAAATTACTTGTTCATTTCTGTATTATAAATGTAAATATATACATTGTTTCAACAAGATAGTATTGTGTTAAAATGTACCAATTTCAGATCATCCTAGACTAAGTGAATTCTTATTATACGTTATAGTTTATTCATATTTTGAAGCCATGAATGTTACTGGATTACCATTTATGTTTCTTGGACAAATTAACAAACTTCTTTTGTTCATTATCACAAAGTTCTGGTGTACGTAGACTTGCATTACCTTTATTTTAAGTAGATTTGGACTATAAGACTTGTCATTTTGCTTGGAGCTTCAACCAGATGACCAGTCAGTGATAACATTTCATTTTTCTGAACAGGCATTTCTCGCTTTCTATGTAATAAATGATTTAGAAATGAATCAATACTCCAAAGCATTGGTAAGTCCCTTCCATTTGTTTTGGCTCTTGCATTTAGTTTGTCTTTATCATTTGATATATCCTTGTGAGAGCGTACTCAACTGATGAACATGCTACTGTAGAAATTTTAAATGATTGAACAAACGAGTGATTTATTATATTCAGTATAACTTATTGTCAACGAATTAAGAACTTTGAATCCTCAAAAGCTTCTGAATTTAAGCCTTTTCTGAAATGAAGCTTGCTTTCTATGAACTCTAGTACATTTGGTGGTCACAGATATCTGATGGCTAATAATTTGAATACTGAATCATATGTTAAATAAAAATGGTTTTTTATTCGTCCCTAGTGAAGACACAATAGCATTTTTAATGACCTGTATTTGTTAGAATTAGTAGTTTGTCCCATCTGCATATAGTTTTTCCCCTGGATTAATTATTTTTCATTTTCCTTTTCAGGTACCTGCTATTATCTACATCTGCAGTTTGATAGTATCTGTAATATTACAGGTCAGACTATTTTGTTAATATCTAATTTGTCTAATTTAATACTTCGTTACTCAACTCAATTACTTTCAAAACTGTTTACAGGAGACTAGATGGTCAAGTTGGCGTCTTAAGCTTTACTTTTCAGCTGGAGCAGTGCTTTGGATATTGTCAGGTCTTGGAATTGTTTTTCTACCGAGCAGAATGCACAACCTCATGTATGCCATTTCAACCATAATAGGAGCTGCGAATGCACTTATGACAGTAAGTATACTGTAATCTCAATTAACACCTGTACTTCCAAGAGATGATAAAAACTTTAGGAGATTTATTATAGTATGGTAATTAAATTTTATACTTTGTAGCTAATTTGATAATACACACATTTAAAGAAAAAATATACTTGTAAGAAGGTATATTATCAATTTATCATGTCATAGTGGTATGCTCTTATTCTGGCCCACCGTCCATGTACCTAGTTGTTAGCTTGCTAATGTATCTGGTATGCTGGCGCTTAAATTTCAATCCTGACCTTCAGGACTATCTGGTTTAGCAAATGTGTCCTTGCTGTTCAGTTCTGTTATATACCTTGGTGAGATGTTGCGGACTCAACATGCCATGTTATGATCAGATAAATTTTGTTTAGGTATGTCTTAGTTTATTTGTTGATGTGTTACTGTTAACATTGTGCTGCAACACTTGTGAGTAACCTGTATATATCTGCATATGTTAAACTTCTTACTATGAGCTTTTTATTTTCCCTTTCAATTTAAGTGTTACTGTATCCTGTTTAATTTCAGCTGAATTTCATTTACACATATTTTAGTGTATGCTCTTGTGATGTTACGGGAGTTCTCTTAGATAATTTTATCTTTCCTGTGCTTTCGTTGATACCAGGTGACAAGTATTAGCATGGAAGGTGTTTTAGTAGGAGAAGATCTAAATGGTTGTGCTTTTGTGTATGGCTCATTAAGTTTTGTTGACAAAGTTTCATGTGGAGTAGCTCTGTATGTTCTTGAGTCCTATCAAGGTAATTACTGTCACTATCTTAATACTGGAACATCATCATAAGCAAAATTGAATTTGTAATCTTCCAGTAAAAGTTTTGATGCGGTTGGAATTTCGCATGGCAGGAAGTACAAAGATCAGATCAAATTTAGGAACAGCATTTGGCTATTCAGTTACAAGACTTGGCTTGGGTTTAGTTCCAGCTGTCTGTTCACTGCTTTCAGCAATAGTAGCTTATACCATGGACCTCCCTGATACTCGGCGGAGACCTTTGGTGGAGCCCCTTCTAGCATAACTTCACTGGTGGCACTATTACAGTTTCACAGTGAACATTTACAGTAATTGCTCGATAGAATGACACTGCTGCTGGAGCCTGAAGATACTAACGACATTATAGGCAAAAAAGGAGGAATCGGGTACCTGGTCAATTCGTTTTGACTTCATATATATAGTCTGAATAAATTATGATGGAAAGAATGTACTGAGGGCAAGAAGATTGTAAATATAACCTTAGCTTCATTGTTGAGGACAACGCATTGCTTGTATGATAATTTTTTTCGAAAGCAGCAAAACTGCCAACTAGGCACATATAGTAATTGGCAAGGAAAAGAATGTCTCTGGTCCTTGTTTTACAGGACTGTAATTTCATTGTAAATGTTCGCAGGGTGTACATATAGAATCATGATTCAAAAGAAACGTTTTATATAATATTGATGGATGAAATAATGTCGCCCATGCTCATGTAAATTATTTTTGATATTCAGGAGGCATGCTAACAGTTCATCATTGATACAGACATGGTATGGAAGCTAACTGCCCTATTTCTAGTGGCGTGATGAACATGAAATTCTTCTAGGAACATGTTTACTTGTCATCTGCCACCTTCCAACCCTATCACATTCACACATACGTGTAATATACAATTGAGAGAGTTCCAAATTTGATATTGTTTTAAACTGATTCCTTCAGCAGTTCTATCATAGAAATGAAAACGGCTATGTCCAAGTGTTGGATGATAGAAGCTGCAATTCATTTTAAGGATTTCTTTCTCCGATGGCGGTTTAAAAAAAAAGTGTGCGTACAATGTGGCACGGCACCTGTAGCAACTTGCAAAGCCTCCAATACACGTTTGGTCTCCCAAATGTGCTATTGTTGCATGAGATTCCAAATTATTTCAGCTGCTTTGCAAAGACACATTTAGTACAGTTCTTATCTGCAATTTTATTCAAACAGCCTGTTCGCTTGTTGGTTTCAGCCAGAGCTTATCAGCCAGTCAACAGTGTTTTCCTCTCACCACATGCCAGCACCAGCCGGGCTTATCAGCCCAGAAACCAACCAGCGAACAGGCTCAAAACCAGATGAATTTAGCCCAGTAAGTAACCCTAACTTTGGCAAGGCTTCTCACATGTAGTGCATAAAAAGGTCTGCTTTGTTTTGAAGGGATTAGTAGATACAAAGAAAAATCACAGATAAACTTACCTAAGCTGCAGCTAGTGGCCATTAGCTATAGGATTAAGCACACTACTACCTTACCTATTTAGCTAGCACTACTAAAGTTGTCATGTAACATAGGATACTAGTGTCATCATAATAAGTGTATACCAGAAATAAATTCATCTACACCATTGTTTAACGAAATTTATTTATACGGACTACAACCTATTCCTTAAGGTGAGTGCGTCAGGCTAAGTTTGTACTACACAAACACACCTCTCCAATTTGGTGCTTTCGTGTGTTGCATCCCTCAAGAATGTATGCAATGAGCTAGTGTGAATCAAAAGTAGCATAGGATCAAGAAGACTTCTACTCCCTCCGTTCCAAATTATAGTTCGTTTGACTTTTTTGACCTCAAGTTTGACCACTTGTCTTATTAAAAAAATTTATGTCAACATAGTCAAATTTAAGTCATTCTTGAAGAACTTTTGTTAATAAAGCAAACCGCAACAAAAGAAATGATATTTTGCACAAATTTTTGAATAAGACGAGTGGTTAAACTTGAGGTCAAAAAAGTCAAACGAACTATAATTTGAAACGGATTTAGTACTAATTACATGGTTAAGTATACTATATGGCTTGTATGTAATGCATCCTTAACTGTTCTTAGTGGACTGTATTTGATTATAAATGGCCGAGTCGACTCAGCCTTCTATATACTGCGCTATTCTGATATTCAGAAATGAAGCCTTCGCAAACCCAGGGTGTGGGATTTCGGACACATCATCTAGGAGAACCACCACCATCGAGTCAGGAGCCCAGTGGCCTTCGAGTGGAAGAACTGATGGGCGATGGCTCTTTCGTAGAAACTTTGCAGGAGAATAAGATCAGGTGTTGCAGCAGCAGCAGCAGCAACAACAACAGCAAAGCCTTTCGACGACAACAACAACAACAATAAGATCAGGTGTTGCCTTTCGAAAAAAATAAGATCAGGTGAACTGATGCTATGTTCATAAGCTGAGCGGTCATGGAAAATTTGCTCTTGTGTGAGCTATCAATATTAAACAATGGGTTAGTTTCTTTCTTGTGTTCTACTAAGCATTCTTTTGTGACGTGACGTGCCTAAATATGAAACCAATTGGAAATTTACTACAGTGAGGTCCATTTAACCCTCTAATTTGTCACTGAGTTTGAAAGATCCCCACAAGTCTAATACCAAAAATCATACATCCTCTAACTTTTAAAACCAGACAAAATACATTTCATGACCATTTCAAAATAGCTTCTGACATGGCAGTAGAGGCCCACATGTTAGGTAGTATTCCATTTCTCTCTCCTCTTTCTTTTATATAAAAAATTACAACCTTTCCATATGAAATCATATGAAGACAAACTTCATATGAACCTCAACATGTTCTATAACTTTGCATTTGATAACTCTTTTATTTGAGATCATTTTTAGATGCACATATTCGTTTTAAACTATCACATTTTGTAATTCACATTTTTAAATTTTTGAAATGACATTGGATGTTGTGTCCGAGAAAAGAAATGACATTGGATGTTAACATGGTATTTACCAAAGTTGTAAATTTCAACGCGATTTATAACTTTTTAGTTGATAACTTTTTTATTTAAGATTGTTTAAATATGCAGATATTTGTTTTAAGTTCTCATATTTTGGGATTATTTTAAAATTTTCAAATGACCTTGAATGTTTACATGGTCTATACCAAAGTTGCCATTTTTACTTTGGTCTGTAATTTTCTAGTTGACAACTTTTTATTTCAGATTGTTTAGATGCCCAAATATTCATTTTTAGTTTTTAGATTTTTTAAATTTATTTTATTTATTTTTTAAATGACCAAATATGAGACACACTATACCTAAGTTGTAGTGCTTAACAAGATCTAAAACTTTCTTGTTGAAATTGCTTTTATTTGAGATTATTTAAAAGCTCAAATATTCAATAAAAGATGGCATACCTAAAAAGACCGATAACATGTGGGCCCCCACATGCCACATCAGCCAAAACCGTGTGAGAAACTACTTTGAAATGGTTGGAGGGGGGCGTTATTTTGTCAGGTTTTAAAAATTGGAGGACATATAATTCTTGGTGTTGAAGTTGAGAGGGGGTTTTCACACTCAATGACAAGTTCACGGGGTTAATTGAACTTCCCTCTTCAATTGCAAGAGCAAGTAGGTATGCATTTTCTTCGAAATTCCATGTCCTCCAGGTTAGATGTCCTAAGTAATGGAGAGTTCCGTAGAATCCATGTTATCTAGGGTGAGGACTTCCTATTGAGATGAAGAGAAGAGGAAGATCGACATGCCATGGTGATGAGGGCAAGCCCAATATGTACCTACTTTGTGGTACCGATAAGGGACGATCATGCCTCTAACCCTTCCCACTAGGGGCAAAGTCATCCAATGAATCACTGAGATGTGCTGTGCTGAGGTACTAACCTTCTGCACTTTTGAAGTAAAAAAATTACATGTATATAAATATAGGTGTAGGTATAGATGTAGACTAGATATATAGATATAGATGTAGCGAATTGTATACTCATAGATTTAAAACTGTTTTTTCTTGTATCGATTGCCCTAGGTCAGCATGCAATTACGCTAGTCAGGTGTAGTCCCAACTGTTTAACTAGAAGAAGACCCCGCGCATTATTGTGGGACTTAGAAATAGAGTATGATTGGACTTACATGTTCTTGTATCGATTTGGTCAAAATCTAGTAAGATAAAGAATGAACCTAATAAAAAACTATTAAAATATTATACTGAATTATAAGATCATGGACAACAAACAAATATATTATATGGATGCCTTGTATTCTTGATAGATTGAAAATAGTAAGTGCAATTAGTTTAAATGACTTGTATAATTTGCATCAAGAGATTGAAAATTAAGGGAGAGGGGGATGTAGCATTTAGTGGGCATGACGTGGATAGCTTGCATGCTAAGATTCAAAGTTAGTGAAGGATGGTATGACATTTAATAGGGGATAGATAACTTGCATGTTGAGATAGAAAAATAATGAAGTTTACTTTTATAAGATATATAAATATATAGATATAGATTAGCGGCACTATGAACTTTTTCCTTCCTTCCTAATAATTCGTCATAAAGCACTTATGCTCATGTATGAAGGGAGTACTCCATTCGTCCTAAAAAGAAAGACGCCTAAGGTTTTGTGCAAGTTAAACTTTCTTAAGTTTAACTAGATTTATGAAAATATTGCAATATTTGTATCTTTAAATAAGTTTATTATAAAAAATATATTCAAAGATTAATATAATGATACTTATTGTGCATCATAAATATTAATAGTCTCTTGTACATTTGGTCAAAGTTAGAAATGTTTGACTTTTTTAAAGTGATAATAACACTCTTTGCGGGATGGCGGGAGTAGTTGTTTTATTTTATGTCTTTTTTCTCTCTCTTGTTGGGATGATCCTGTGTCGGTGAAATCCATTGTTTTGCACTAAGATATGAAAAGGTAAAACGATTGGAATCTCTGGCAAGAAAATTAACACGGAGTTTCTTAGTTGTAATTACAGAATTAATAGTTGCGTATCCTAAGCTGGACTCGAATGGTAGTAGAAAGCATATATTATATTAGTGGTGAGGCTGTGAGCGTATCCATTTTCCATTTAATAATAAGGTTGTTTGAAGAATCCAAAACCACTAGAAAGGAGTCATTAAAACTACACGTGAAAACGCTAAAAACTGTAAACTAGCTGCTCTGTGCAGGGCTCCAAGCCAGGCGCCTATAAAAGAGGGGGCCAGAGAGGCCCAGAGCTCAGAAGGGACCCTCGGAAGATAAGACCCACGAAGTACACTACAAAGCTGT